TAATCGGAAGTCTGAGATACCTTACAAGCACAAGACCCAATATAATGCTGAGTGTTGGGATAACGAGCAGATACATGGAGAATCCAAGTTACACACATTGGAAGGCCTTAAAGAGAATTCTGAGATATGTTCGAGGAACCTTATCACTTGGTCTATTCTATTCAAAATCGGATGACTACCGACTAGTGGGTTACTCGTATAGTGATTGGTGTGGTGATGTTGATGACCGGAAAAGTACTTCAGGTTATGTGTTCCTACTCGAAAAAACAACTTTTACTTGGCTGTCAAATAAGCAACTCATTGTAACTCTGTCAACCTGTGAGGCTGAGTATGTGGCGACCTCTTGGAGTGTGTGTCATGCAGTTTGGCTTTCAAATTTACTAAGGCATCTGGGAGTGATCCCAGACGAAAGGACTGTAATTCAAGTTGACAACAAGTCAACGATCGAGTTGGCAAAGAACCCGGTTAATCATGGAAGGAGCAAGCACATTGATGTCCGATTTCATTTCATTCGAGAACAAGTTAGAAAAGGAAAGGTTGAGTTGGAGCATGTTGAAAGTCGAGCTCAAGCTGTTGACATATTCACCAAACCACTGTCAACTACACTACTGGAGAGTTGTAAAAGGCTTATTGGAATAAGAGATGGGAAGAATATTTAAGTTTAAGGGGGAGATTTATTGTAAAACTTAAATTAGACGTTTAGTATTCCTAGAATAATATTAATGGTTTTAATTATGAGTGGTATAACCAATGGGTTCTAAACCTATTTAATATGTATTATGATTTATGTTTAGCATTTGAAGAGACAAATATTTTGGTCATAAATAATTGTAACAACTCATTTAAAATTGCATCAAGAAAAAAGTTGAGAGCATTGTTTTGTTTTCCTGTTACCAATAAGGAAGTTGTTATAAAATCATATTTAAAGTATGTATTATCTTATCAACATTTTTCTAAACTAAAATACTAATATATTTTAATTTTAAAAAATATTGGTGAAATATTAAAGTATGAAAGGTCAAGAAGGTGAAACATGAACGATAACTATGTATTGGCGAAAGAGGGGAAGATACTAAAAGGGACGAAAGAGGGGAAGATACTATAAGGGACGAAATGGAAATGGAAATGGAAATGGAAATGGAAAATGAAGGAGAAGGACGCATAGAGAGAGAAACATATTCTGGAGGAGTGTCAAGAGATTCTCTTCACGAAAGGTTTAATTAGTATCTCAATCTCAATCTTAATCTCATCCTTGTCCTGAAATCATTGGAAGTTCAAATTTAAGTGTTGAGCGAAGTAGGAGAAAGGCTATTAGACTAAACACTAAACATGTGTGCAACACTATATCAATTTTTTTATTGTGAACTTCAACAATAATTTTTGGAAAAAGGAGGAGCTCAATATGGTAAATCAGTTATGTCAAATAGGCGAGATATCGCAGGGGCAACTTTTGAAGGAAATAGAAGAAATATGCTACTTGTTTTGAAATGAATCATTAAGATTTTATTTATTTATATAAAATCATTAGATTTTGAAATGAATCTTTAAGATTTTGTTTCGTTTATAATTGTTCTTTTCATAAATGTTATAAAAATATTTATGTTTTTTTTAATTTCAATACGTAAGTTAAAAACAAAATATTATATAGTGTGTTGCAACCTAAGACGGAAAAAATAAGTCATTAAATGAAAAAATTAATGAAATCATCAGTAATATTTATTTTAAAGAAAATATTGAAAAAACCTTCCAAAGAAAAAAAAACAATAATATGTGAAACAAAAATTAGATCTTCGAGACGATTATACGGAAGAAATGTATTATTACCCTACAATATTCGTTCTCAAGAATAGTTACTTTAGTTAAATATGAAAAAATTAAATATCTTAAAATTATTTATTTTATCCCTCAAACTTATATATTATTACTAAAAGAATAAAAGATTATACATTTTTTATATTTTTGGCTTGACAAAGATTATCTTTCTGTTCCTACGTATCTCCAAATACAATGGAGGATCAAAGTGACATAATTTTTTTTTTTAATATTTGTGAATAATTTTTTTTAATTTATCTATTTGTGTTAATAAGTTAAAAATATGTCTAAAATTATTTTAAAATTGAATAATTATGTAATAATAAATTACAAGTACGTAAAAACTACATCTAAAATAATCATTAGTATTTAAATATCTAAATTCTTATAATTCCTATTTGAATTATTTTTTTAATATTTTATTATAATCAAGTAAGTAAGTTTTAAGTGATTATTATAATTTTAACCAAATTAAATCTGCATGTTAATTTTTATGAAATATTTTGTTATAACCTTACTAACAATAGTAATGTATATTTAATAATTTTATAAAATAATATTTAAAAAAAATGATAATTATTGAAATTTAATTTACAATATATTAATAGTAATATACTAATTTAAATCATTTGTAAGTAAAGAATTGAAATTATTTTTATTTAAAATTTAAATAATGATAATAAAAATAACAAAAAATAATCTTTCAAACCCATTATTATTTGTAAGTTGTTTTTTGTCATGTTGTCTCAAAGTTTAAAATAAATAAATAAATAAAATATCAATAACTCATAAAATTCTTTTCAGATTTACTTTTCTATTTAAAATTTGTTTTAGTTATTTTCACCCTAAATCCAAATAGAAATTGTTTTAGTTAATTAATTGTGATTAATTTGAACTATTTGATATTATGATTTCTTTGAATAAAATAAAAAAACTTAGGTAATCTGCATTTCTAAAATAGTATTAAAGCCAATTCCAATAATGTTCAAATTGTGGTTTGCATATTTTAATATATATGAATTAATTATGATTAATTTTATATTGAAGATTCTGTAAGCAAAATTGTGACCAACATATTCTGTACGCAAAAATTCATTTAATGCCAGTAAACATTTCTATCTTCTTTCCCGTTAAATGACGAACAATACACGTTTCACTAATAAATACTGTATTGAAACGTGGATTTATCACATACTTGCAAGCAAATATTAGTACCTAGGCATGGCAATATTTAATAAATACTATAAATTAATTTACTTTTAAGTTGTAAGGAAATATTTAATAAATTAATTCTTATTTAATTAGTTTGAAGTAATAAAAGTTTAAATTATTAATTTTTTTTAATCCTTTAAAGTACCATTATTTTATTAAGATGAAATTTGATATATGACAAATAAGAATAATAAGATCCAAAAAATATGACATAATAAAACTTAATAAATATAAATTATAAATAAAATAATATCAGTTACTATTAAGATTTATGTAACAATTTTGGAAAAAGATAAAAAAAAATAACTTTTTATTCATCACATTGGTTGGAAAGATTGAAAAAAAAAATAAATTGATTAGAGAGATTAAGAAAATGTGAAAAACTAAAAGGTAAGAGAAAAAGAATTAATTTAATAAACTAATTGATATAAAATATTAAAAAAGACAAAAAAAAGTGGGTAGAAAAAAAATAAAAATGGTGAAATATAAAAAAATTATGTAATAGAAAAAGAAAAGGAAATACTTTTAAAATATTAATATTTTTAATTTAAATTTAAATATAAAGTCGGGGCGTGGGGCGGGGGCGGGGGTGGGGATTGTATTACCCATCCCGCCCCGCCCCGTGCTCGCCCTGCGCCGCCCTCGACTTTTTAAAGCGAGAAAAACCTCAACCTGTCTCCACCCCTAATCAACTCGGTTTTTCATTGTTAAACTTGGACCCGAAACGTATTGGTCCCCATGGGTACGAGTTTAACTGTCATATCTAATTGTTGCTATTGAAAATGGGATAGGATTGATAAGAGAATTAGATTAAAAATTGATTTCTTATTGTTAAATAATTATTTTTAACTAAATCAAATAAAATTGAAAAATTTGATAAAATTTAAAAAAATTGATTGATTCTTTTTTAGTTGAATCGATACGAATAAAAAAAATTAAAATTATTTTTTTAATATAATTTTAAAAATATAATATATTTTATTTTTTTTAATATAATTTACGTTAATTTAAAATAATAGTTATTTTATTATATTTTTATCTTATTTTAATAATTATTTATTTAACATTTTAATATATTTTATATTTATAACATTTATCGTATTTGTTATAATTTATTACAATCCTAATGATACTTTTTATTATTTTTAATTATTTTTTAAAATATTATTATTAATAAATTTATTATATATTTTTTATATTATAAAAATATTAATTTATTAAATTATTAGACATTGAACCTGAATTCATGGTTTCATTCATTTAATTACCAGTTCAATTTTAAAAATATTAATAATATGTATTAAAAATAAAATTAATATTTTATTACGAATAATCATCTAGAAATAATATTTTATTATAAATTTTATAAATGATTCGATTAAAAATTGGTCAATATTTATAAAAGAATTATAATTTTAAATTTTTTTTTCAATTTTAAATAACTTATATATAAAATTTATAATAAAATATTTAATTTTATTTTTAAACCATTCTTATTAATAAATATTTTTACAAAATAAAATATTTTTCAATCATTTCAACCTGTTGCTTTTATTTCTATATTTAAAATGTAGAAGAATAAGAAAACCCAAATATTATGTTAAATTTTTACATAATCAAAATTATATAATATAATTACTAAATTACATAAATAAAGCAACATATAAAAGTAAGAATAAAGGAAGTATCATAAATATAATCCTTCATTTGATTTATATAATGAGTTCATGGTGTTATTATCGACAATAAATGCAAGTACAAAAACCTTGGTCAAGGTTACATGTTCCAATTGCCTTGGTCGTCTTATAATGTTTGTTGCAACGAGCACGACAAGGATTGTAGTTTATGTCACAAAAAACTTGAGGCAGTGTACATTCTTCGCACTTTACCACTGCCATTTCCACTTCATTTCCTACACACACATAATATAATCAATAATCTTCTCAAAATGCGTTTATATTACACACAAAATACTATCACTCTGTATCTTCAATTTGTGACAACCAGAGCTTACCAGAAGCAATGAAGAGAACAAGCACCAGGACAGGGAAACCAAAAGGGCTTTTCATTTTCTTTATTTGATTTAGGAAACAGTGTTCAGTTTTCTGTACTCTAAATATATCTAATGAAAGACACCTCCACCTGCATTTATATACTCTAAATTAAAAAAAAAAAAATATATATATATATATATATATATATATATATATGACGCAAGATAAACACTCAATTTTATCTTTTTTATATTTGCTTATATTTTAATTATTTTTTAATAGAAATAAATTAAAAAAATAATTTTGATAGAAAAAAAAATCAATTTGATCAAATTCTTTTATTTTAGGTAAAAATAATTAAAAAAATAGAGTTTCTTCCGCAAGATCAATATTAAGTCATTATTTTTAATTTTTATTTTAACATATTGGCATACATTTGTTTAAAAGTTTTTTTTCTTTTTACTACTTTATGTACTCATATTCTTTTCTTAAATTGTTTTTCACGGATTAACAACAGAAAGATTCTCACGTTCTCATAAATGATAGACGACTCAATCATACAAGATAATATGGTACCACCCACCTTCAACCTAAAACCTTAAAATATTATATTATGAATATTTCTCATTTATAAGTTATCAAATTTTCTCATTTCTATCTGACGTGAGATTTCAAACTCATACTTAAATTCTCAACATATACACATATTATCACATTCATCCTTTTCAACCAAGTACTTCAATATTATCCTTTTATTAAATAAAGAAACTTTCTTTTATAATTTTTATAACTATTTTGGTGTCTTGTAAGATAATATCATCCTTTATCAAATAAAATATACTAATTTTAATTATGTTATTGATGGATGAAAAATAAAAAAATATAAGAAAAAACAGTTATTATGATTATTATATAACCCTTTGTTATAATCCCCTCTTTATCCTATAATGCATCTTCCTTCGAAATCTCCTTTTTATTTTATTTTTATAATTTTTTCAATTATTTTTAATTATATCATTCATATCAAACATTAAAAAAAAAAGTCATAAATCATGGCGAAAGGCTAATTTAGAAGCATGAAAAGTCTTATTTCCTCGAATATGTACGAAATATATTTGCTAACAATGCTAACATATTATTAAATAAGTTTTGAGTTCATGTTACATATTGAATGGATGTGAAACTATTATTCACAATAATCACACGTACAAAAATTTAAGTCTTTGTCACAATATCCAATTGCTTTGGGTGATCGATAATGTGTTTTGCAATGTGCATCGCAAGGATCGTTACAAATATCATTACGCAATACTAAACGCTCACAGTGTTGAGGCACCTCTGTCGTTTGTGCCTTTATCGTTTTCACCTCTGCCGTTTGTACTTGATTTCCTACATCAAACCATATATACCCAATCACATTTATACATAATTAATCTTGTGAAAAATCACTTCACACAAAATAGGACTAAAAAAGTTTTATGCATTGGGTAGTGCTCATACTAGGTAAATAAAAAGGGGTCAGGATTCACATATGAGATATATCAGTAGATCATGTTCCAAACTTCGATTATATTTTTGGTTTTGAAGATATTAAAAGACACTCTAACTTTTTTATTTAAAAAGTTGATTTGAACATCATAGTATTTTTTTTATGTGAGTTTTTCTACTATTTTTTTTTTTTAAAGTCATTTAACATCCTCACAGTTAAAGATGAAACAAAATTTGGAACATGACTTACTAATATCTTTGTATCAACCTTATACATCTCCGTACTCTAACAACATATACTACTTACCAAAATCCATGAAGAGAACAAGTAGTAGGAGCATGGAAAAACAAAATGGGGTTTTCATTTTCTTAATTTAGATTGTTTAGCTTTCTACATCTCACCAAGAGAGGTGCATTTATATATGCTACAAATCACAAGAGACAAACATATAAAAATAAAAAATAAAACTGTAGGTTATAAATACCATGATGTAATATAATTACATCATTTTTTATGTAAATTTCTTTTTCTTTAAAGTGCTTTTAATACTGATGATATCATCATATTTATTAATGCATTTAATACATATGATATCATAAAGAGTATTATCAGTCCATTTTGTTGGTGTCGATATTTATTATTATTTTAATATATATATATATATATATATATGGCAACGAGGCGTGGCGGGGACAGATTTTGTCTCCCTCATTCTCGTCCCCGATTTTTTAAACATCCCGTCCCCGTCCTTGATCCCCACTGAGATTAGAAATTAAGTCTCAATTCCCAGTCCCGTCTCCGATATATATTATTTTTAAAAAGATAATTACATTTATAATAAATTAATTTTACTATCTATTTTTTATATATAAATAAATATTTATAATTTTATAATTTATAATAATTATTAATTAAATATACATTTTAATTTATTATATTTATATTAAAATATTATGTAAAAGAAATATTTAATCATTTTTTATTTATAACATTATTATTATTATTATTATTATAATACTATATTCAAATATTTGGATACTTATAACATTATCATTATTATTATAATATTGTATTCAAACATTTGATTATATATATGTGTTAATTTATTTTTAAGTTGTCATTTAAAAATATGAAATATATAGTTTATAATGAAATATTTAATAAGTTAATTATTATTCAATTAGTTCAAAATAATAAAAGTTTAAATTATCAATTCCTTTAATCTTTTAAAATACAATTATTTTATTAAGATAAAATTTGATATATGATAAATAAGAATAATAAGATAAACAAATGATATAATAAAACCTAATAAATATAAATTATAAATAAAATAATATTAGTTATTATTAAGATTTATGTAAAATATTTAGAAAAAAATAAAGAATAAAAAAATTAACTTTGTGTTCATTAAATTGATTGAAAAGATTGAAAAAAAAACAAATTAATGAGAGAGATTAATGAAATATGAAAAACTACAAGATATAAGAGAGAATAATATAATAAATTAATTGATATAAAAGATTAAAAAAGACAAAAAAATTAAAAAATAGGTAGAAGAAAAATAAAAATTGGTAAAATATAAAAAAAATGACTTTATATGTAATAGAAAAAGAAAAGAAAATATTTTTAAAATATTAATATTTTAAAATTTAAATTTAAATATAAAGTCGGGGCGGGGACGGGGTCGGGGTGGGGATTGCATTACCCATCCCTGCTCCTGCCCCGACTTTTTAAAGCGGGAAAAACCCGAACCCGCCCCGGTCGACTCGAATTTTCCCCATCAAACTCGGGGTAGGGGCGGGGCGAGTCGGTCTCCACGGGGACTTGGTTTAATTGTCATCCCTATATATATATATATATATATATATATATATATATATATATATATATATATATATATATATATATATATATTAAAGTATAGTTAGAACATCTTTAAAGAGAGTTGCTCTCAAGAGTTACATAAATAAAAATGAATATTTTAGTATAAATTTTACGTTTAAATGACTTAAAAATAGAAAAAAATTACTTAAAATTAGAATAAAATTAATTAGATAAGTAATTCGACCAAATTTTAAACAACTTGAGATTCATAATAAAATATTTAATTTTATTTTAAACAACTCTTATTAAAAGCTCATTTGGAGATACTTTTATATTAATGATAAAAGTTGGTGATAATCTTATAATTAATAAAAATGATGAAATAATAAAAATATATATATGTAAATAATTAATAATTATATGTAATAATTTATAAATAAAAAATAAATATTTAAAGTAGAAAAGATAAGATAAGATTCGAAAGTGATGTCTTATCTCTTCATGGAAAGTAAAGTTGATCCAGACTTATCTTCATTAACACGCTTGCGATAGAACGCAATGGACACGTGTAAAGATAAGGGAATCTTGCTTTAGTAGCATGTCATAATGACGACCATTAACTAAAGCCTTTACTTTAGTCGGATCAGGTGGAGCTCGAGTAGTTCATCTGTTGTGCTTCACTCCTTGTCATACTTCCATGTAATGGGTCCCAGGTATGGATACATCTTTTTATGTATTAACATTTCTTCCATCAGATCTTCGTTGATGTTATCTGCTAGATCTTCTACTTTCGGAAGTCTTCATCGGGACGTTCATCTCCGCTTGTGATTTGAAAAATCTTATCTCTTGGGTTTTGTCTTCTTACAGGTGATTTGATTCATCCGGTATGTGTCGGATGGTCTACAGGATGAGCTGGCAATGTTGGGGTCTACTGGCTTTGGTTGATAATGATTTATTTCACAAAGATGATGCGCCAGTTGTGCACGATAGCTGTTATCAAGTGGATAGGTGTCAAAGCTAGCCCATAGATAAGCTTCATTTTTTGACCAAAGGGTTCCAGCTTGATTCATGAAGTATGGACGGTGGATGATGAAGATAGATGTCAAATTTTTGAGAGAGTCTTCAGTAACTCCTTTTTGCTTTTGACGGTCTATGATCTCCTTAAGCTGTTGTCTCCACCAGGGTATTGGAGAAAACCATTCAAGTAGTGTCCAAAAAGGAATTTGTCTTTATACGGATGTGTCAAAATATTGTAAGTTGTTTGCACCTTTAATGCAATAGGAATGGAGTATTGAGCTGTATCGCACCAAATGGTCCAAAGGGTAGGTTCACAAAGATCCAACCAGGTTCACAGAATAGTTCGAAAATTCCCCCAAAGGGAATATCGAGGATTGAACGATGAGGTCTGAAATTACTTTGTATCTGAGGGTTTCATGTAAAAAGTAAAAGTATCTGGTTCTGGCATAGTGGAGAATATCAGCTGGTGTGGTTGGGTTTAAACCAGGTGGATAAACTTTGATGGTTTTGGCTTTATCGGAAAGAGGTTTGACCATAAAGATAAGGGGAAGACTATGGGTGTCTACTATTAATTAGACTATGGGTGTCTACCCAAAAAGACTGTCCAATTAATAGTAGACACCCATAGTCTTCCCCTTATCTTTATGGTCAAACCTCTTTCCGATAAAGCCAAAATCATCAAAGTTTATCCACCTGGTTTAAACCCAACCACACCAGCTGATATTCTCCACTATGCCAGAACCAGATACTTTTACTTTTTACATGAAACCCTCAGATACAAAGTAATTTCAGCCTCATCGTTCAATCCTGATATTCCCTTTGGGGGAATTTTCGAACTATTCTGTGAACCTGGTTGGGATCTTTGTGAACCTACCCTTTGGACCATTTGGTGCGATACAGTTCAATACTCCATTCCTATTGCATTAAAGGCTGCAAACAGACTTACAATATTTTGACACATCCGTATAAAGACAAATTCCTTTTTGGACACTACTCGAATGGTTTTCTCCAATACCCTGGTGGAGACAACGACTTAAGGAGATCATACACCGTCAAAAGCAAAAAGGAGTTACTCGAAGACTCTCTCAAAATTTGACATCTATCTTCATCATCCACCGTCCATACTTCATGAATCCAGCTGGAACCCTTTGGTCAAAAAATGAAGCTTATCTATGGGCTAGCTTTGACACCTATCCACTTGATAACGATTATCGTGCACAAGCTGGCGCATCATCTTTGTGAAATAAATCATTATCAACCAAAGCCGAGTAGACCCCAACATTGCCGACTCATCCCGAGACCATCCGACACATACCAGATGAATCAAATCACTCCAGAAGAAGACAAAACCCAAGAGATAAGATTTTTCAAATCACAAGCAGAGATGAACGTCCCAGATGAAGACTTCCAGAAAGTAGAAGATCTAGCAGATAACATCAACGAAGATCTGATGGAAGAAATGTTAATACATAAAAAGATTTATCCATACTGGGACCCATTACATGGAAGTATGACAAGGAGTGAAGCACAACAGATGAACTACTCAGGCTCCACCCGATCTGACTAAAGTAAAGGCTTTAGTTAATGGCTATCACTATGACATGCTACTAAAGCAAGATTCCCTTATCTTTACACGTGTCCATTGCGTAATAGAATTAATGGAGACTTTTGTGAAAATATATGTTTAAATTTAAATTTAAATAGAACTAATGCAATCTTCATCAGACGTCATTTCTATTTCAACTTTATATTTAAATTTAAATTTTAAAATATTAATATTTAAAAATATTTTTTTTATTATATATAAAATATTTTTTTATATTTTACTATTTTTATTTATCTTTTACTTACTTTTTAATTTTTTTGTTTTTTTAATTTTTTATATCAATTAACTTATTATATTATTCTCTTTCTCTTATTTTTCAATTTTTTACATTTTCTTAATCTTTCAAATCAATTTTTTTTTTAACAAATTTAATAAACACAAAGTTCTTTATTATTTTCTAAACATTTTACATAAATCTTAATAAAACTAATATTATTTTATTTATAATTT